CCTCATTTGGAATATTCAGAACAATGTTAAGTAATAGCAGTGATATGTGCTTGTCTTGCTTCAGACTTTCAAACTCACATTTAAAGGACTTGCAACTATTGAAATGATGCTGATTAATATTACATTTAAAATAAACTATATAACCTATCAGAAAATGCCTATGTGTTTACATTATTGTTTGCACTGCATAATGTGTATTATTATTTAACACACAATTTCTATCATCCTCTCAGAGTGGACCGAGGAGGAGCGCTGGGTGATGTGTCTGAGCACCTGGAAAGGTGTCCCTTTCCTCTGCTCCACTTGCTGGAGCATCTGAACTGCCTGGTGGTGGCCATGCTGCAAAGGCCCCAGCAGAGAGGGGTGGTATAGATGTCAGCCAGCAGGTGGCTGCTGGGCCTGGCTGCAGCCTGGTTTTCATTCTGTATTCGTGTGTGTGTGTGTGTGTGTGTGTGCGTGCGCGCCTTTAATTTTATGAAGTTGAAAAGTACAGAAAGCCCAGAATCAGGTACTAGCCCCAAAACTCTAAAATGCCTCAGATCTGTTCTTTCCATTTTCTCTACCTGTGTCTTCAATCTTTTATTCTTCTCCATATCTTTGTTTCCCCTTCCTTTACATCTTTTACTCTCAGAGCATGCTTTCTGTGTAGCTGTTTGGGTGCATAATTTAAATATAATTTCGCTAACAAACTTTAATTGTATGATGTGATAAGCTTTGAATAGTGTAGAGTTTTGTTGAAAAGCAAATTACAAACTGTAGCTTATATATTAGGCGACACAACAAAAGAAATGAGTGTTATTTAAAATGAGCATTTTTTTGAAATTATAGCAAAGCTTCATATTTAGTCGGGAAAATAAATGTTTTTTACAGAGTGAGATAAAATTAAAAGGTCATTTGAGCTTACTTCCCACATCCTAGAAATTGCTGTTAACTGTTAACAATTTTGTGTCTCTATATGTATCAAACTGGGGAAATAATGCTCTTACAGGTCCCTGGAATCCATAAGGTAGGCAACCATAAATGAAATAATATTGGGGAACACAGTGAAAGGAGACGGTTCCATGATACTGACTCAAAAATATAGCTTCTCTGTCCAGACATTTCTTAATATTATGGAAAATGGTGAAGAAATTGTCCAAAGAATGTTCTATTTCATAACACAAATGTAACATACTCACACCTCTAGATCCCAGGATTGCCTACCCTGTCTTAATTCTAACCTCTCCCAAAAAAGGTAATCATATACTGGTGATTAATATGCCCTGTTTCTAATGATCATTTCTTTAAATTAATATGAATAAAATCACATAGTATACAACTTTGGTGTGTACTTTCATCGTATAGAAGTATGTTGGTGAGCCCAGCCAGAGGGACATATTGGTTGAGTGTCAACCTATAAACCAGCAGGTCACAGTTCAATTCCCAGGCATGGCACATACCCAGCTTGCAGGTTTGATCCTCAGTCAGAGGCATTACTAGTAGGAGGCAGCCAATCAATACTTCCCTCTCATCATTGATGTCTCTATCTCTCTCTCCCTCTCATTTCCTCTCTGAAATCAATAAAAATATATTTAAAATTAAAGAATTAAAGGAAAGCATTTTGGCTAGATTTTTGCGCTTCTCTCTGTGTAGCATTGTTTTTATTATTTTGTCTCAGGGTATTCCACTCTATGATTGTAGCACAGCCTGTTCATTCTACTGGAGAGATGTCTAATCGGTCCTTCAGCCCATTTTTGTTGGATTGTTTCTCTTCCTTTTGTCGTCTTGTATGAGGACTTTATATAATTTGTATATTAACCCCGTATCAGAGCTAACATTGGCAAATATTTTCTCCCATATGGGGGTGTCCTTTTTCATTTTGATCATGATTCTTTTGCTGTGCAGAAGCTTTTTATTTTGACTTAGTTTCATTTGTCTATTTTCTCCTTCATTTCTGTTCCCCAATAACTAAGACATGGAAACAGCCCAAGTGGCCGTCATTAAGCAAATGGATAAATAAAAAAAAGCTGTGGAACATTTTCAAAATGGAATACTACACAGTTGTAAAGAGGGGTCTCTGAAACTTTCGGGCAACATCAATGGGCCTGAAGAATATTATGCTACATGAAATCAGCCAACTTCTTGCATTTAATTGTACTTTTTTAGACACCCCTGTCATCTATTATTATACTTCCTGATGACAGTTTAGAAATAGAGCAAAATCCAGAGAACATATTCTATGCCATGCATCATGCGTGGAGATTTTCCCAACCTGAGTAAAGCACAAACCAATACTTATGTTTTGAATGTTATCATCATATTGAATAATATAGTAAATGGATCTTCATGGCATAAAAGGAAACTAAAAGCAAAAAAAAAAGGGTAACATATTTGTCATAATTGATAGCGTATTAGGAAAATGTCTTTATTAGATACTGGTGTTCCCCAGCATGTAGAATGATTCCTAATCTATTTCTAGTCAAAAGTGACTAAAAGAAAAGGTAGGCCTTAGAAGGACAGAGAAGGAGCAGGAAGAAATTTTACAAATAAGGAACTTTGAGCTACATTTATAAATATCACACTTTCACCTTCAAAATCCAGGAATGCCCCTACTCAGCCAATAGGTTCGGGCACATATTACAGTGAAAGTGGGGAGGTGGCAAGGACATTGTAGTGGATGTGGGTTTTAGCACAGCCAAGAAGAGGCCCTTCTGGACACTCCTGTTCCTCTCTTTCCAATCATCACTACAGACTCCAGCAGCCCAGTTCCAATGTCTCCCAGTAATGTCTCCCAGAGGTAAAAGTCTCAGCACCCCAGTCATGAAAACACTCAGATACACGAGAGACATTTGCACCTTGAGGACCACATCCCACACAAAGGCTGATCAAACCTCCAGGTAGGAAGACAAGTGTAGTAGTTCTTCCCGGCTGCAAAGTGATAGTCACTGCAAAAAGAAAAAGAAATCATGTGGACACGTTGCAAATAAAGTCCTGAGGCAAAAGTTGGTCTTTTGAGATGTTACTTTATTGTGAGCTACAACAACAGGAGCGGTTTTGGCTGTCACATCTAGTAGAGTGCAGAGATGACCACAACATCTGCAGAACAACAAATCCCTAAAGACAGACATTTGAACATTTTTCTAAATTTAAATGTTTAAGGCCCAATGTAAGACTTATCTCACCCTGGTCAGTGTCTCAGTGTTTAGAGCTTTGGCTCAGACCTGAAGGGTCAGGGGTTTGATTCCACTCAAGGGTGCATAACTGGGTTGCAGTTTCCACCCCTTGCAATGCATCTGTCTGGGCATTGCATCTCTTTCTCTTTCTCAGAGCCTCAGTCTCTGTCTTTCCTTCCCTCCTTTGCACTCCCTCAAAAAAATCTATGGAAGAAAATATCCTTAGCCTGGCCAGTGTTGCTCAGTCGGTGTGTGTCAATCTAGGATCCATTGGTGGTCAGGGTAGATGCATTGGTTGTGGGCTTTATCGCCAGTAGGGTGCGTGCAGGGATCAGTTTACGGAAGGTTCACTCTCATCACTGATGTTTCTCCCTCTCTCCCTACCCCTTCCTCTCTGAAATCAATAAAGATACATTTGAAAATATGATTTCTTTAAGGAAAATAATAAAACTAAAAATCTTGGGCCGAGATGCAGACTTCCCCCGACAGCAGATGAAAGCTCCACAGATTGTGTTGTCTACCAGATGCTCAATGGCAGCAACAGTGACTGCTGCTTCTGGAAAATCAAAGGAGTCTTACAACAGGCAGGATCTCGGGATTGCTTCAGGCGCTTGCGTGGGGGACCAAGACAGGTGCACTGTGCCGAAGCCAGAGAGCAGTACAGCTCAGCCACCAAGTGGGGATGGGACCCCACCATTGCCTGCCACCCTTGGGTCTCCAGGACATCCTCAGCATGAGAGTTGATGAAATCCACTGCCTGAATTTTCAGTTGATCTGTGTTGTAGAGTTCAGCCAAGGTGAGCATTTCTGCAGCATTCTCCTCAGAGAGGTGTCTGCTGAGGGCTTCCTCACACATGACCTTCAAACGCTCCAGGGCATACTTGTCAGCAGCTGCCAGCAAACCATCAGCCATTTTGTCCAGGTTCGGAGCCTTTCCCGTATAAATGAAGCACATCATCTCCTTAAAAACTCCAGGCTCCGTGTCAATGATTACAACCCGGCTCTTTTTCTCTCCTCCATTGAGTGTGAAAACATGGCCCTAAACACTGGAGAACGAGCTGCTAAGATAGCTTTGTGAGCCTGGAATTCCTGGCCAGCAACACAAAAACAACAGTCTGAACCAGGAATTTTCCCAAAATCCTCCTAGCTCATGGGCCACCTGGCACTCAGGAACCTTCACCATCTTTGTGGTACTCTGGCCAGAAATGGTGAAGGAATCTTGAACCACACTCACCTCACAGAAGAGGGACAGCTTGTCATCAGGGAGAAAACTATTGTCTTACCCCCACCCTCTCCTACTTTCCCTCTGGGGATTGATAGTCTGATCGCTGTTTCTCTGTCTTTGGATCTGTCCCTGTTCATCAGTCTATGTTGTTCTCTATATTCCACAAATGAGTGAGATCATGTGGTATTTATCTTTCTCTGACTGGCTAATTTCACTTAGCATAATGCTCTCCAGTTCCACCCATGCTCTTGCAAATGGCAAGAATTCCTTCTTTTTTTACTACAGCGTAGTATTCCATTGTGTAGATGTACCATGGTTGTGTTTGTTTTTTTTACTGCATTTCTGTGAAATGTCCCCCCCACACCCCCATTGGCATATCCCTGGAGGCATCTCCCTACAGAAACCAGATTAGTGACTGCCAGGGGCTAGGGCGGGAAGACAGGGAGGGAAACTGGGAAAAGGAGGCGACTGTTAATGGGTTTAAGGTCCTACAATTGGCTCATCTCTGAGGGGGCGTGGCTAGGCCCTGGGGGGCGTGGCTGGACTCTAGGGCGGACCCAGCCAGCTTAAAACCCTGCAGAAGGGCAACAGCCCACTCTGTGGTGGCTGTTCAGCGTGGAAGCATGGAGGAGTGCTCTTGCCTCTGCGGCGCGGGCTCTTCTCGGGGATGTCGGTGTCTTCAGGAGTGCCAGGGCCCAGCTGAGACGGCAGCAGCCGAAGGCAAGAGGTGTCCTCAGAAGCGCCAGCGCCCAGCTGAGAAGGCAGCGGCCGAGGGCAAGCAGGCCCCGGCAGAAAAGCACCTCGAGGCGCACGCGGCAGCGCTGTGCTGTGCAGGGAGTGGAGGAACCGCGAGCCCCTTGCCGCCCCCGCGCTGCTCGCTGCAGGACCTGCCGGTGGAGATGCTGGTGGCGATCTTTGCCTCGCTCCCCGGCACCGACCTGCCCAGCCTGGCCCAGGCCTGCACCAAATTCCACCACATCCTGCACAGCGACAGCATCTGGAGACGGCGCTGCCGGGAGGAGTACGGCCTTTGTGAAAACTTGCAGGACCTCGAGATAATCGGTAGGTCTTATCGAGAAGTCTATGCGAAGCTGCTCCACCCATACAGAAACATTTTGGGTTTGTGGCAGCTAGATTCAAGCTATAGAACACTGCTGAATGTAGTGGTGGATGGCTTATGCATTACTGGTTGGAAGTACAGCCCTTCCCTTAACACCCATGTGGATGCCCCAATGCAGTTCGAGCCCTTCTTCAGAATTCGCCTGACGGAGAGGAAATCAGCCACGGTGGAGTACATGGACAACTACTACAGCTTGTCCCACCGCCGCCACATGCAGATTCAGAAGGACAGGTTCAGCATCCAGTGGCTCAAGAGCGATCACCAAAAGGATTCACCTACGCGGCTTAGGGGAGAACGGGGACGGGTGCTGGTGCAGGAGGACAGACAGCAGTATGACTGCCTGACCTACCGCCGCCTCTACCTCCCACCAAATCACCCGGACGACCTCATCAGGCCCGGCCTCTTCGAGGTCGAATATAATTCTGCCGGCCTAATGATTGCCATGCTCAGCTTCCGTGGGAAGTATGCCAAGATCTCGAAGATCACGGGAGTCACCTTCGGGCAGATAAATATCCACCTCATGCGCCGCATCCCGCTGTCAGATGGCGAGATCTTCCGCAACTTCAACCAGCTCTCCCGCGTGGTCCAGGAGATTGACAAGCAGGTGATCCGCGAGCAGCAGCAGCAGCAGCAGCAGCAGCAGCAGCAGCAAAAAAACGGGACTGAGGAAAGCGAGGGCCATGCCTGGCAGAGCCCTGCCCAGCCCAGCGTCGGGGAGTCCGGGGCTGCAGCTTTGGAGGAGCAGCCTGTTCCGTTTGTTCTGCCTGTGGGCGTGCGATCAAGAGACCAGAACTACCCCCGAACCTGCAGGATGTGTTTCTATGCCGCGGACATTGGTACCTTTGATCCCTTCGCCTACCCCAGGCGCTGCCCTGGAGTCTTCATCCTGTTCGATGAGAACCACTTCGGGTTCATCTGGCTGGAGAGGAAATTCTTCATCCTGTACAGCAGAGTCCAGAACACCTTCCAGAATGTGGAGGCACCATCCCTGCAGGCCTTCCTGGAGATGCTCTCAAACATTTGCCCCTGATCCCCTGGGATGAGCAGTTTGTATGCACTTTGAAGATTTGACCTTCTGACCAGGTTACCCACCTTTGTTTGTTTTTTTAATCCTCACCCGAGGATATTTTCCCATTGACGTTTAGAGAGAGTGGGGGAGAGAGAAAAAGACAGAAATAATCGATGTGAGAGAAACACATCAGTCGTTTGCCTCCTGCCCAAGCCCGGAACAGGGCCAGGCTGGGTAGGAGCCAGCAATAGAGGTCGAAATATACCTTAGACCAATGGTCTCAACCTTCCTAATACTGCGACCCTTTAATACAGTCCCTCATGTTGTGGTGACCCCCAATTTCATTGTTACAAATTGAAGATAATTAAAGCATAATGATTAATCACGCAAACAAAATAAAGACATCTTAGTTAATATATATTGTTTATTTATTAACATTGAATTCATGGCCAATAGCAATAGAGCTCATTCCTTATGAAAGCTTATCTAACAGATACATTATCTCCATAAAGCATAGCTAGTGCTTTGGCACTAAGGCTGTGGGCTATTTTAACCAGCAGGGGCCACAGGCTCCTGGGATGGCGTCTTCAGAGACAAATGAGGACTGTTCTCATTCCTCACGGGGATCTGAAGGAAAGAAGGAACATGGGGGAAAGGCAGAAAGCAGCAGCTCTTCAGACTCCAGGAGTAGCGATGAAGGTGCCAGCAGCTCCAGCTCATCTTCCTCAGGGGACACCTCTGACTCAGACTCCAACTGAGCTTTGTTCATTCCTAGGTGGCGGGACAGAGAACTTCCCAACAGAAGTCTTTGGCATCTATGTACATTGCTGGGCTCTCCACCTTGTCCCTGTTTATTGCCTTACTTCCTTCCTTTCCCCCCCTCCTCCTCAATACAGAGTAGGACGGGTTGCAAAGTGGGGAATTGGGACAGAACTCTCAATATCAGGTCCACACACCTGGGAAGAGAGGTTCCTGCTGGGAGAAGAAATATATCTGAGCCTGTATTGGATTCCCCTACACCACTGATGGCGAACCTTTTGAGCTTGGCGTGCCAGCATTTTGAAAAACCCTAACTTAACTCTGGTGCCATGTCACATATAGAAATTTTGTGATATTTGCAACCATAGTAAAAAAG